GAAGAAAATTCCAGGGGCGCCTGGTTAAGCGTCCGACTTCGGCTCAGGGCATGATCTCACGGTCGTGGGTTCGAGCCTCACGTCTGGCTCTGTGCTGACAGCTAGCTCAGAGCCTGGAGCCTGCTTAGGATTCTTTGTCTCCCTCTCTCTCTGACCCTCCCCTGCTCACACTGTCTCTCTCTCTCTCTCAGAAATAAATAAAACATTAAAAAAAAAAAAATCTTAAAAAGAAAATTCCATCTTTTTTACAACTAATTGTCCCAATCCAGACATATGGAAAATGTTTTCACAGTCAGAAGGGATTATTGGGAGAAAAAAGGGATTACTGAATTCAGCATTTCTTAAGCTTAGAAAGTAGGTCAATGCATTTTCATGGAAGAAATATCATAAATACTTACTAAAACCAAAGTATTCTCACCAAAGGGCCTTGAAATCTAAATGGAGCTTAATCTGAATCCACAAAGTTCAAAAAACTAAAAACACTTTTTGAAAACTAGTTAAAAATGGTGAGGAAATCTATACACATTCCTTAAATAAACAGATGTGCCAAACTTTAAGACATTCTTCAGTAAAGAAGTATCTGAGACAAGATGAAACACAACTCCAATAATCCTGTTTGTTACCACAATCAAAGCCCTGGAACAGAGTCAAAAACTTTGGATCTGAACCTGTTCGTTTCCCAAACCTGCATATCAGGAACAGAATACTCTGGACTAACGATGGCAGGAGGAACTTGAATCCAGGGCCACCAGAGAGAGGATCTGTTTTTCGGATTATCTCCAATGTTACAAAGGCCATTGCCAGAGACTGCAAGAAATGGATCTTCATAATCCATCCCAAGACAGTTATCGTCAACTAATTATCCCCTGAAAAACAATGGTATTTACTAAGTTGAACGAAGTACTCAGTGTATAGCTATTCTAAATTGTCTAACTTTGCCATGTTACACGCCAAGTAAGAAGCCAACTCCTGGCTCTCCCGTTTGATAACTTCTTTGTCTCCAAATGCTCTTTCTGGATGTTTAAGTCAAAATCTTAAGACTGACACAGATACCAGCAAATGAATCACCTGATTTCCCTACTAACATGGTTTTTCTCCATGAAGTTCTACTCACCATTTTAAAATGCCCCTCTACAGGGCACCTGGGTGGCTCAATCAGTTAAGTGTCTGATTTAGGCTCCAGTCATGATCTCATGGATTTTGAGTTGGAGCCTCGCATCAGGCTCTGAGCTGACAGCTCAAGACTGGAGCCTGCTTCAGGTTGTGTCTCCCTCTCTCTCTCTCTCTCTCTCTGCCCCCCCCCCCCGCCATGCTCTGTCTGTCTCTTTTTTAAAAAAAATTAAACATTAAAAAAACTGTTTTGGGGGCGTCTGAGTGGCTCAGTCGGTTGAGTGTCCAACTTCAGCTTGAGTCATGGTCTCGCCGTTCTTGAGTTAGAGCAACACATCAGCCTCGGTTTTGACAGCTCAGAGCCTGGAGCCTGCTTCTGATTCTGTGTCTCCCTCTCTCTCTGCCCCTCCCCCACTTGTGCTCTGTATCTCTCTCTCAGAAATAAACATACATTTTTTTAATGTTTTATTTCTTTCTGAGAGAGAGAGAGAGAGACAGCATGAGCAGGGGAGGGTCAGAGAGAGAGGGAGACACAGAATCAGAAACAGGCTCCAAGCTCTGAGCTAGTTGTCAGCACAGAGCCCGACGTGGGGCTTGAACCCACTAACTGTGAGATGAGATCATGACCTGAGCCGAAGTCAGACGCTTAACCAATGGACTCACCCAGGGGCCCCAACATACTTTTTTTTTTTTAAGTTTTTTCAATACCTCTCTATAACAATACCAAGAAGTGCTCATGAATTTAGCCTGTGGTTCCCTGGGCTAAAAAGGCTTGAGAGGGAGAATGGAGTGGGGGGAGGGGGAGGGATGTGGGAAATTCTCTCTCCCTCTCTCCAGTGCTTTGGACTTTGAAAGCTAGGCAGAGGCAATGATTCTGCATTTAATCAGCACATGAATAAGAAACAGGTTTGGGTTTAGAAGAAACATAAGGGAGTGCAAGAACATTCAGTAAAGAGCACTGTCTCCACTTCCCTGCAGAGCAGCTCTCAGGATCTGCCAATGAACCTCATTTTGAAAGGAACACCCCATCTACTCTAATCTGGGGCATATCCCTCAAGAGACAGTCAGTCAACCGGAACTCTGCCAACTTCTGCCTGGGAGCTGTGTGGAGCACCGGAGCAACAAGGGCCTACTTTGAGAAGGAGATCAACAATCACACTCCAGAAGAAAAGAAGTTATTTGGCAAAGGGAAGCATGTTGCCAAAATGTTAGTCACAGTTTATGGTCCCAGTTTGTGTCTCTGCAACTATTCTTTGCTCTGACAGAGCCCATTCTCTGGCCCAGAGAACCCAGCTCAGCTACTGTCACCGTCCCCACTTAAAGCAGTGAAGAATCCTTTCATTTCCAAGGTACCAAACTGTGACACAGATGACATGTCCACCAGAGACTAGGAAGGATGGGGGGAAAATGTGTTCTTTGCCATTTTCCACCTGGAACTGGCTCGAGTAGAGCAATGGAAAAATGTGACAGGATCGGATAAATGGAAAATCATTATGTTGAAGAGCAGGCTATACCAAAAGCCTCCCCAGAGCTCTGGGCTCCCATAACTTATTTCCAAACCCTCTGGAAAACAAACCAAAGAGATATCCTGTGGTTGAAATAACAGTGTAATATTAAGCAGGTTTTTACCCCCAAATAAGTATGTACTATATACTTCTTAGCCCGAAGATCTTCCTGCTCTCGCTGGGGTAAGAAGACTATAGTGTGCCTAAAAACAGCCTGAACAAAAGCCCAAGATTTTCAATCATTTCAGAGCAACGGAAAAACAGACACAAGTACACTAGATTACTCTCCCAATCTGTGAAGAGGTCAAGAAAGAACATCCGACAATCTTCTCTTCAACAAGAACTGGACTTCTCTCTTCCCTTCTTAAAAGCCATTAGTAAAACCTGAAAACTCCACTGCTCTCCACACCTTCCACCTTGCCCTGCATTTCACCTTTGTGCTGACATCACATAACTAATCGGTCCAACTAAAGTAAACACTACTGATATCAAGAATGAGGTAGATTTGGAAACTGCCCCCTCTTAAGCAAATCCCAGTCAGACCTCAGAAATGCCAAGACTTTCAGGAACACTTCTTCTAAGCTAAATTAAATACGTTCACCTATGGGCAAAGTGTTTAGAATAGGATGCCCAAAGAAAAAGTTGGGATGGTCAAGATTTCAAAGTATTCACAATAAAGAAGCTAAAACTGTCCACAAGCACATTTGTCCCCACCACCTGGCAATGGGGCCAAACTGCCTGGACCAAAGCAAAAGACTCGACTAAATAAAATACTATTTTTCAGCGAATTCTCTGAGTTCATGAGATAAGTCAGTGTTTGTCAAGAGTAAAATAAAACACTGCATTCCCTCACATTCTTCATCAATCAACCTCCAGTTCAACCCAAGCTCGAACTTGCCTTTGACCGTAGCCAATACAGTGTAACACAGTAATATGAAATTTGGGTCTACTAAAAGTTGACTTTGAAAAGCGTTAAAAAATTGAACATGTATCAAATCACAACCAACTATATTCCCTGGCACAACAAACACAGCAAGGCTGAGAAGAAGACACTGAGAAAACAGGTCTTCTAAATACCAGTATCTCAATCTTGCTTTCAGAGGTCACTTCTTTCAAACCACTTTAAAGATCCCAGTCAGGGCCACCTGGGTGGCTCAGGGGGTTAAGCATCCGACCCTTGATTTCAGCTCAGGATGACATCACCATTTGAGTTCAAGCCCTGCACTGGGCTCTGCGAAAGGGGCCTGGCCTGCTTGGGATTCTCTCTCCCTCTCTCTGCCCCTCCTCCCCCTCAAAATAAATAAATAAACTTAAAAAATAAAAAGATCCCATTTAGTTAACACAATGTTTCAGAGGCAGAGAGGAACCAAATCTGTCTTTCAAAGGGGAAAAAAACATGAAGACAGTTTAACGACTTGCCTCCAAGTTACTTAGTAAATCCACAGGTATGCGAGAATAGTCCTTATTCCCTGAGGTTCTCTTTTGGTTTCTAAGAGGAGATAAAAGTCACCAAAACATTCCGTAAATCATTCAGAAAACAATGAGGCAAAAACAGCACCATGAAAAAGGAGGTGGATCCTGGGGCAGCCCAAAGCAGTAACAGATTATTCAAATCCCTTTAAAAACGCAAACTCCAGTACACTCCAGCTCCTTCCAGCTCCTCTCCCGAGCGTTCTCTTTCAATAATTTTCCTTCCTGATCAGTAACTCACGACACACTGCCCGCGTCTAACACTTTTAAGATTTCCATCTTCCCTCACTTCACGCCACTCCAATCTGAACCCTCAACTCTACGTTGCTCCCCTGCGCAACTCAGCACTTCTCAATACAACCTTTAACTCAATTCTGCTTCTTTCTCAACCAACGCTTTCAAGATTCCTCTAAGTGTAGGCAGTTTCCGGAATCATCCCGAGCCATTGGTTTTCACTCAACTCAATCCCTAAAATGTCAGTCACAGTGGCCTCCTCACTCGGAGCATCCTGTTAATTACCTGTTCACAACAGGTCCTCCCTCTCCATCTCCCTTTTGGCGCACGGTTGTTTCTCACTCCCAGCTGCCGTCTCACTTACCTTACCCAACCCTCCATGATCCCTTATTTCCTGTCGCTCAGTAACCTTCCTTCCCATTTTCAGTCCGCGTTCGCCGCACACCAATTCCCGACCACTCCTCCCTACTTGGATAGCCCACGCCCCGTTCCAGGCTCTGAATTCAGACCCAGCCCCCGTTCCACTCACCCCCCCCGACCCCGCCCCCAGGCCCCCTCTCTCGCTCAGGCCCCTCCCCCAATATCCTCTCTCTCCCTCTCTCCTCTCCAAGCCCCGCCCCAAAACCCCCCTCCCACAGCCCTCCCTCCCACTCAGGTCCGCAGGTCATCTCAGCGACGTACCCAGCCTCCTCGGCCTCTTCCCGACCGGGCGGCAACTGCCCCGGGAACGAATCCGCCGCCACCTCCGCTCCGGCTTCGTCCCGTCCTGCTAGCTCCCCGGCAAGCTCTCTCTCTCGCCGCCGCCGCCCCTTTTGCCAACCCGGAAATGGATCTGCTCCCACTGTCCCCAGCGTCCGCGAACAAAATGGAGGCGGGGGAAAGAGGAGGAGGGAGCGGGGAGCGAAAAGCCACTACACGCACGCGCCACGGGAAAGCCCGCCCCCTGTCGGCCCACGTAAAGACGGAAGCGTAGGGTAGCCGCCATCTTGGGAAGGTCGTGAGAATTCCGCCTGCCTCCTCGAAACAGGGTTTGCAACTTTGGCAGTTGGAATCATCTGCAAAGACTTAAGCAGAGAGTGAAGCCCAGAGATTCTGATTTAATTGGTCTGGCGTATGTCCTAGGCATGGAGACTTCTAAATCGCGCGGGTGAATCTAACATGTTACCGAGATGGAGAACCACCGAGCTACAGTCTTGAACATAGCTTTTACATTTTTATTTTACCGCGCGCGCGCGCGCGCGCTCACGCACACCCACACACCTACCCCATCAATGTCCTTCCCGATTTTCGAGTCAATGAAGAACCTGCCTCAATCAACCTTGCAGGGACCCAGTAATCTAGCTCCTGTTGTCATAGCAACAGAGAAGCAAGCCCCTGCTAACAAGTCATCCTTAACGTCATCTTAGCCACCTGACCTGAACACCCGTGAACACACGTCTCTTCCGCGGGCCGGGGGGTTCCCTAATTTCCGGGGCTGGGGGATGGCGCTGCAGGCTCTTCCAGATGCTTGGGTCGGGGAAAGGAATCCTGGCCCTCCGTGGTGGAGTTGCTGTTAACTCCTTCCCAGCTGAGTTAAGGATCTCTCGCTAGTCCACTCACAAAAGCTCTTTTTCACTGTAGCTAATCCCATTGCCTTATGTCCTCAAAATGCTCTTTGCGTCACTCTGGCATCCTTCCTTGAGCTGAATCCAAAGAAAGGGGATAGGTTTGAGACTTAGTCCCCCCTACTTTTTAGCTGTGTGCCCTTGGGCTTCAACTACCCTATCTGTAAAATGGGACTAATAGTGCTTGTCTGGACTATTTCATAGGGTTGTTGGAAGGCTCAAATCAAGTAATGAATGGGAAAGCATGTGATAAATCGTAAATTGTTATTATTTTTGTTTTTGCCCTCTGTTCCGCCAGTCAGTAGTGCCGGCAGCACGCACTAGTCAATGTCACAGCGTTCATTGAGAACCTGCTGCCGGCTAGGCACCAGGAGATGGTTACAGACATGACTAACAGCCTCTGTTCTCAGGGAACTCAACTGTGTGGTAGGCAGACAGGCATGTAAACAGCTAGCTGAGATACAAGTCAGCATGTAATTAGTGCCATGGGGACATATGTGCTGTGAGAGGTCAGACAGGGAGTGATTAACTCCCGCTGAAGAATGGGAGAAGGTTTCGTAAATGGTTTTGAACTCGACCTTGAAGGATGTGTAGAATTTTATTACTAGTCAGAGAAGGCAGGGAACACATTCCAGGCATAGGGATCAGTGGGTGCAAAGCTAAGGATTTTCAGGTATGTTTTCTCCATGTATGAAGGTGGGATGATTGGGTCAGGGAGACGGTAGGCCCAAACTCCAAGTTCCTCAACTTCATGTCCATCTGTGTCCTCCTTGCTCATCGTATACAGTGTGGACCTGCCTCTGTCACTGCACTGCACCAAGTGGTTCCTCAAGGCCTTTGCACTGCCTCTACTCTGCCCCTTCGGCACTTTTTAAGCCTTAGTTCAAATGTCCCCTCCTCAGGGGCATTTCCTGCCCACTGTAGCTAATGTTAGCCGCCCTCCCCACCCCACCCCCCATTCTCTATAACATCACTCTATAATGAGGGCAGCCAGCCACTGGGGTGGAGTACAGAGACATCTCACCTGGGGTACTATGTGTGGGCTTCATGAAGAAAGTAACATCCTAGTGAGGCCTGATGGTTAAATAAGAACTGGGAAGGGCTAGAGGAGAGAGAAAAGCATTCCAGAGCAGAGGGAGAGTATGTGTAAAATAAGAAGAATCAGGCCACATTCCAAAAACTCAAAGCATTTTGATGTGGCTAGAGCTAGAACTTGGAAAAAGGCAAGAAATTAGGTCAGAGAAGTCATCGTAATATCTGACATTTATTAACATCATGTTACCATGTTGGCATAACTTCACAATAACTTTCTGGGGTAGGTATTATTACCCCCCATTTTACAAATGAAAAAACTGAGACACAGCAGGAATAACCATTCTGCCCAAAGCCACATATGTACAAAGTAGAACTAGCTCCACTCTGTGCTGTTAATGCCCATACCATGTGACCCTGCGTTGTCATTTTAAAAAAATGTTTATTTTGAGGGAGAGGGAGAGCATGCACACAAGAGAGCACACATGAGCAGGGAAAGGGCACAGAGAGAAGAGGAGGGAGAGAACCCCAAGCAGGCTCCATGCTCCCAGCTTGGGTCTCTACACAGGACTCGAACCCACGAACTGTGAGATCATGACCTGAACCGAGATCAAGAGACTTAACCGACCGAACCACCCAGGTGCCCCTACTTTGCCATTTGTGATGTGATTTCCCAAAATGGTGAAAGACTTTTGGTAAAGTTCTGAACAACACAAAACAACACAATAAATGTATTCATTTAAAAAACAGGTTATATGAAGTTTGTGCAAAAATATTTCATGTTTATAATTTCCTTTTTTGATAAATATGACATGACAAGCACCTTGGAAACCTTCTTTCAAGAAACAACAAAAATTCCTGGATAGAAAAATACTGAAAAACATCTTAGAGGTGCCTGGGTGACTCAGTTGGGTTAGGGTCTGACTCTTTTTTTTATCATGACCTGAGCTGAAACCAAGACTCAGATTCTTTTTTTTTAGTGTTTTTTTTTTTTTT